TAAACATTTTTTTCTCATGATAATGCAGAATATTACTCTGAACACATACCTACCTCATGCATCACTCAATATTATAACTGAACCCCAAAGAGCCTCTCAACTTAGATTTTTCATTATGCATCTTACATTTCAATTTCTTTAGTTTTCTGTAGAAAAGATTATAAATAATGCCCACCTAATAAAGAATCTCTTGCCAGTGGTACCGGCTCACGCTTCTAATCCCAGCACTTTGGTACATGGAGGCAGGCAGATTGCCTGAGGTTGGGAGCTTGAGAGCAGCTTGACCAACATGGAGAAACTCTATCTCTACAAAAAAAAATTAGCTGGGCGTGGTGGTGCCTGCCTGTAATCCCAGCTACTTGGAAGGTTGAGGCAAAAGAATCGCTTGAACCTGGGAGGCGCTGGTTGTGTTGAGCTAAGATTGTGCCATTGTACACCAACTTAAGAAACGAGCAAAACATTGTCTCATTAAAAAAAAAAAAAAAAAAGTTACAGCAGCACCTGTGGAAAAGAAAAAAAAACTTTTTGAAAGTCAAGCACAGTCATTTATTTGTATCATCAAATACCTGAGTTGGGTGAATTTCTCTCCTGTTGAGGTTTAACATAAACCTGAAACTCCTGAGTTTTTCAGAAAGTACTATACTTACCACAGGTCAGAAATCCTGGTCTGTGGTAAGTAGAAGATATCATAGTACAGGGACTGTGTCGAGAAGATTTCAGTTTTCCCAAGGGGCTATTGGCTCCATAAATCAAGTTTGATTTTTTTTAAAAAAACACCATGCCAGTCAAAGCCTTGGTAAAATAACCAGTTTCTCCAGTTGTGCCCTGTTACTTATAAAAAAAAAAAAACAACAATTATTGACCAGGTGCAGTGGCTGATGCCTGTAATCCCAACACTTTGGGAGGCAGAGGCCAGTGGATCATGAGTTCAATATATTGAGACCATCCTGGCCAAAGTGGTGAAACCCTGCCTCTACTAAATATACATAAAATTAGCTGGGTGCAGAGGCTATGCACACCTGTAGTCCCAGGTACTCGGGAGGCCAAGGCAAAAGAATCACTTGAACCTGGAAGGCAGAGGTTGCAGTGAGCTGACATCATGCCTGTTGACAGAGGGATACTCAATCTCAAAAAAAAAAAAAAAAAATAGTTTAAAAGTTTTATTGGCTCTGAAAAACAAAACAAAGGGTCAGAAAAAAAAAAAAAAAAAAAAGATTACTTCAGTCTTATGTTAGTTCAGTACATGCAGTTAATCCTTGTTCTGCTTGATATTCATGAACTTTTCAGCTCTTCATGAGTCCTGAAGTTTTTTTTTCTTACATCACAGTCTCCAAAGTTATCAGAAACTTTGATTCAAGAGCACCTGTTAGAGTTTTATAGCTGATTATAAAACCACCTTCTAAAAAGGACCAAAGCAATACAACAATTGTCTGTGAATGACAAAAAGTTTTAGGACAGTCATAGTCAAAGACACGCAAGAAAATTTGTTCCTTCTGTGGCACACAATAATTTAACATAACAATTATGATTGCTGATAATGTACACTAAGTCATATAAGAGGTCTCCAAAATTTTGGAACACGTTCTAATAATGTGTTTATACAAACACAGCCCAAAGAAAAGCAAGCACCATTTGATATTCAACAATGCTTTCTGTATAATTTTTATAAGAAATAAGCAAAATTATCTCATTTTTTAACTTTAGGAGATGTAATATTTTAAATGACTAATTAGGTAAGAAAAACACATAACTTTAATTTTTTTCTCTTTTAAAAATACATCTAATTTGATTTTGGAAAGTTTGATGGAACTTTGTTTCACAGAAAGAATCTCAGTCAAAATATCAAAGGTTGAAAACACTTGATATCACAGGTCATTTTAAAATAAGTCATTTATTTATTTATTTATTTATTTATTTATTTTTTTTTTTTGAGACGGAGTTTCGCTCTTGTTACCCAGGCTGGAGTGCAATGGCGCGATCTCGGCTCACCGCAACCTCCGCCTCCTGGGTTCAGGCAATTCTCCTGCCTCAGCCTCCTGAGTAGCTGGGATTACAGGCACGTGCCACCATGCCCAGCTAATTTTTTGTATTTTTAGTAGAGACGGGGTTTCACCATGTTGACCAGGATGGTCTCGATCTCTTGACCTCGTGATCCACCCGCCTCAGCCTCCCAAAGTGCTGGGATTACAGGCTTGAGCCACCGCGCCCGGCCATAAGTCATTTATTTAACCAAAGTGATAAAGAGTTCCAAAAGAGGGTGGGGAAAAACTTCATTTTTGGGGAGAGAAGACTTAATTTACCAAACAATCTCTAACAAACCAGCATAAAGCCAATTTGTTTTTCAAAATGTTATAAACAATATAAAATTTTAATCTTAACCATAACATATAACCTCTGTAAGCCTTTTAGAACCTTTATTAAGTATTCAGTGCTTCAAGAAGACCTCATTCTGGTCTTGAATCAGTGTGCCTTTGACACTGGTGTTTAATTTATAGAAAAACTAAACTTGTTTTATCTCTCAAGATAAGTTCTTACAGTCTTGCATGCCCACCTTTTCTGTGATAGTCACTGGGCCTTGAGGAGTTGAATAGCTGTAATTTCATCTCATCTGCTGAGAAGGTGGCTCATCGTTGGGCTGTTTTCATCTAGGAGAGTATTCCAGGCCAGACCCCACTTAAATAATGAAAAAGGTCAGAATTTAATTTGAAAAGAATTTGTTTAAGGTCAGATATTGAGGATGGCCACCAAATAATAGATTGAAGTTACCCTGAATGTATATTTCAATTAGTAGCCATTACAGACCAGTCTTTGAAACAATGCGAAGGCAGTTTCTAAGTTGTCTACCAAAAACTGACGTTAAAATTCTTGGTAAATTAATTGGGTATTGATTGGTTATATATTTCTTTGTTTTACATATTCTAGGAAAAAAAATAATGGGTGAGACAGCTAGTCAGAAAAAAAATGTAAACAATTGCTCCTGGGCACAGATGTGGGGTGAGATTGACCTCTCAAACTCTCATCTCTCAGGGCTTGATAAATTGATCAGACCTCAAAGAGCTCAGACTGCTCTGAGCTACTTTTCTCATCTTTGCCTTGCTTAAAACATAAACCATTAACAAGAAACAAATTCAAATAAAAATTTGGGCTGAGTGTGGTGGATGACACCTGTAATCCCAGGACTTTGGGAGGCTGAGGCGGGTGGATCATTAGGTCAGGAGAGCGAGACCATCCTGACCAAGATGGTGAAACCTCGTATCTACTAAAAATACAAAAATTAGTTGGATGTGGTGGCCCACACCTGTGGTCTCAGCTACTCGGGAGGCTGAGGCAGGAGAATCACTTGAACCTGGGAGGGAGGTTGTAGTGAGCCAAGATTGTGCCACCGCACTCCAGCCTGGTGACAAGAGTGAGACTCCATCTCTCTCTCTCTCTCTCTAATA